GGTCCAGATAAAACAAGTTTGGCCTTGTGTTACTAACTGCTGAAGCTGTCTAAAAATCTCAATAAAAAACTTTTAGGTATCACATGAGCACATTTTCAAAAATGTCGCTCCTTAGGGAGGGGAGACATAATAATGTGACCACTGTGATGTTGGCTGGGTGCTGTCCACCTGTCCCATTTACGATTCACACAGTTCTAAGCCCAGTCACACTATCTCCACTCTCAAGAGTGGAGAAACGAGGCCTGCAGTGGGGCGGCGAGGACCCAAAGCCAGGCTGTCGGACTCCGGAGTCTTACAGTTAACTGCCAGACTAAACTGCAGGATAATAATTTCTAGAGATGAAGTCCTTATTTTGAAGTACTACTAAGTTTCTGTACTGGCACAAGATGACTGCAGGATTCCTATGATAACATGAAAAACACCAAACATCTGCCTGAGAACATCTCAGTACTGTAACTTGTCCTTGAGGTCAGCCCCGAGTGCCCGCCAGTCCCAACCCTGCTCAACCCGAGTTCAGGGATCCTGACCCCAGGCTAGCCCATCAGTCCTGTGCTGGGGACAGAGACTCAAGAGGACAGCACCTGAACCAGCTGGCTGATGAGCACGGGGGAGTGCCTATGGGGCTGCTGCAGGATGCTCTTGGCAATCACTTCACAGTAGTGAAAGGCCTGAGTGGCCAGCCCCATGTCGGCCAGGCGGCAGGAGTAGATGAACTTGAACACCTGAAACAAACAAACAAAGCTCAGCCATACTGTGGCTCCTTTCCCTGCAGTCCCCCTACAAGCTGAGAATTATTCTGGATGTTTCGTGTATCTTGTGTACCCCTGTGGCCCCAAAACAGCACTAGTCCCCATTCCCTGAGATAATTCAGATCAAAGGAAACAATTGAGCTTCTAAGGCCACTTTTTCTCTTCAACATCCTCAGAGAGCCACCAGGGCTCCAAGTACAAAAGCCATAACTCAGCACACACAGGACAGCCCCCCAACCCCACCCACAGACAGCCATAGCCTGTCCCATAGCCATTGTCTCCTAGCTCTGGATTATGCAAGTATTTACACACAGATGCTCACACACTCACTCATGCTCACACACATGCTCACACTCACACACACACATATTCACACATGCTCACACATTCATGCATACACATACGCACTTGCTTACACTCACACATTCACACACACACTTGCACACTCACACACTCACTCCAGGGTCAGATAACACTCCTACCATACTAAAAATAGCCAACAGAAACAATACTCCAGGTTTTTAATATTTTAAATATTAAGACCCAAAACATAAACAAAATCCTCAATTCAACAGGGTTTATTCTCACACAATATAGATCAAATGTCTCCCCAAGATTGCCGCAAACACTTCATCACTTTTTGCTAAGAACTCCAAAACTAGAAGCCAGCAGAGACTCGTCAGCCCTGCGCCACAGATGCAGCTCACCTGGAAGTTGGGCATGGGGCTAGATTGGGTCCCCAGCGATTGAGCATACTCATAGGCCTCTGTCCTCTGGATAGCTTCATTGGTCGCAAACTTTAAAAATGGCAAACTGTTGAGGAAATGAGTTATTTTTATCTTTGAGCAAGTAACCCAGGAGTGTTCATGCATGATAAGGATGTGAGGCCACCATCCTGGCTCTGTTTCTGGGTTAGCTAAAGGGGGAGCAGGGGAGGGCATTTCCCTCTAGAGGAAAACACACAATTATGCAATTCCTCACCTGTGGTTTGATCCAATTAAGACAAGTTTTGTGGTTTTCTTTGTATAAACCCCAAATCCAACCTCGGCCATGAGGTAGCAGAAGTGCGCAGCATCTAAGAGACCTTTCGAAGCTGAAGAGACATAAAGTGGGCCAAGTCTTAGTCAGGGGGATTCTCCCAGAAATCAAAGATTATGAACAGAAAATGGCAGGGCTGCCAGAGGAACGAAAGTCTTGTGGCCCTTACCACCCGGACTACAGCTGGCACAGGCACATCTCCCATGCTCCACCTATGGGGCCTTCTCTGTCTGCACCTGACCCACCTAGAGTGTCGCCCATTGTGGCCATTGTCCTAGATTCCACATCCATGTTGTTGTTCAAGTTGGACAAAACCATAGCAAGATGCGGCCTCCAGTCTCCCCACTTCTCATCTCCGCAACACTAAAATCACAAGAAAGGAAGCAGAACACACCCTTATCCTGGGAAGGGAGAGTCAGTGTAGCTTTGCAAAGGTTGGGCTCAGGGAGCATGAGGAGGCAAGGGCAGAAAGGTCTCATCCTGTGATGAAACCTTTTCCACAGACAGCAGGGCCATGGGAGCGACGGGGAGAGCTCCCCACTGACCGTGGACGCTGCAGGCATCCGCCCAGACATCAGTTGGTAGACAGTCTGCAAGGGGTCATTGATGGGAAGACTGTTAGCGAACCTGGGGAGACAAAACGACAGGAAAACCTAACTTGACCCAGCTTAAAAAAAGATACAAGACACAAGTCTGGTCTCATTTCAGCCCCGTTAATGATCGGTTCTGATGCTTCACCTTGGCGGTGCACATGGCTCAGTATTAAAAACGCTGTAAAAGATAAAGACTAAGGAGCTCACTGAGATTTGAAAGAGTTAAAAATCAGGCAGTGAACAGGGCACGGCAGCCCACATCCCTGTGACAGCACCACAGTGCAGGCGATGTTCCCCAGCTGTGACGAGAGCTAGACACCTGCATGCTTCAAAGAGCTGCCAAGACACTGCCACTAGACCAGCTGGTTGAGCCCAGAAGCCATCAGCCTCGTGAGATTCTTTACCTGGTCATGACTCTGGCATGTGTCCGGCTGTCCATCTTACTTGCAAGTAACAGAGCATGACCCCACAAGCCGTTTTTCATTGCAGACTCCAAAGCATCCTGCAAAGCAGTATAGTGGTGAGCTGAGTTGGCACGATACTCACATGACGTGTGTCATCCACACTGCCAGGAAAGGAGAAAGGACTTGACTATGGTGAGACACATGTGCCTCAACGGCCCCCAAAACACACCTGTGCATAGCTCAGAAATCAAAGACAAGTCCACTGCCATTACTTTCCCCTGTCCAAACTCCCTGTGGTTGTAGGTCTTGCTGCACACACACACTGCTTTTACAAACTGCAGCATAAAGAATAAGCAGTCTTGGCTGGGTGCCTCAGTTGGCTGAAGCGTCATCCTGATGTGCCAAGGTTGCGGGTTCCATCCCCAGGCAGGGCATATACAAGAATCAACCAATGATGCATGAATAAGTGGAGCAGCAAATGAATGTTTCTATCTCTCTGTCTCTCTCCTTTCCCCAAAGCCAGTAAATTAAAAATTTTTTTTAATAAAAAGAATGAGCAGGCCAGTCAGACACAGGATGACGGAGAGGCAGTGCTGCCATTCCCAAAGGGCTCTTCCCACTGGGATCCGCTGAGAAACTCCATGTATGTGTTCACTCCCCAGTGCCAGAGTGATGTCCTGTCAACATGGACAGAGCCTCCCCTTAGCCTAATAACCTGGGGTATAATTTAGAAAACTTCTATGACCTGAGCTTATCATGATGTAGAAGTCTCAAGGACCTGGGGCCAGTCAGCCCCCTGCCACTGCAGCCATGTACATGCTGGGCATGTGCACACAGCACACAGGGCACCCAACCACCCTAGACCCTCCTCTCCACTCCACACAACCAGAGAGAACTTCCACAGCGCTAACACCTGTACAAGGCTTCTAGGCGCTCGCCCTCCCTGTAGGCCTCTGCATGTGCTGTGCCTGACTCACTCCCGCTAGGCACCAGCTCCCACTAGTACCTACCACACCTCAGAGACCCTGAGCCCATGCACCTGTGACAACAGGTTGCATGTCTGTCTCATCCCTGACACTCACTGTACAGGGCAGGGCACAGCCTGAGCTCGATAAGTGCATTTATTTCTTGCAAGACTGAAAACTGAAACTGTGAGTCTTCGATATTGGCAATATGTAGAGGAAAATCACTGTGATACCTTCAGAGAGATAACACAGGGTGCCAGATGATTCTTTAGGAATGTCACCGTCAAGGCCCGTTGCTCTTGAGGCAGGACTCTGTCCCTCCCACGCCTGCTTCCTGGCACTTAAGCCACACTCAGTGGACGCTAGGACATGCCCGGGGCGTCCGTGAGCTCAGGGACTTACCTTCTTACGGCCATACAGCAGCAGCTCTCTGAACCTCTCCGTCTCTTTTTCCAGAGTGCTGGTGGTAGCAGCCTGATTGTCAGTGAGAAACGAGAGCTGGGCCTCCACCGACTCCTCCTCCTCTGCTTGATCCAAGGCTTCATTTGTAAAATCAATCAGGTTGGCCTCGTTGGGTGACTTCCCAGGAAGCCACACAGTTTTGTGGTCTTGTAACAACAGTTCAGCAATGTCTGTTCCCACCACGGTCTGCAGGGTGGCAAGGACAGAAAGAATGAGGGGCTTCACTACGGACAGGACTTACCGCAGGTCCTCCTGTCCTGCTCAGGTGAGGACCGCCAACAGGTCTCCTTGGATGAGCATGCCAGGCTACCACAGCACAAACCACCACTCCCCACATGCCCAGGAGCCAGACACACAGATTGACCTGGTGGGTCTGAAACTCCCTTTGCCCCAACTGCACAACCTGCTTGTCTTACACTTCTCCAAGTCACTGCTAAGATGGCTCTGGTTGCTCAGCCCAGCACAAAAATCCCGCCCCACTCCTTGGGGGGACCCAGGAACCCTGAGACCCCAGGCCAACAAGAAGAAGCATTTTAAAGGTAAGAAGGCACATACCCCATTCTGTCTGCACAACAGAACGATAAAGTTCCAAAGAAGATTTGCAGACTCTTTGTCAATTAAGTTTTCATTGTGCAAACATTTTGTGGCTTTGCTCTGTGCAAAATTAATAACATCCACTTTATGGGTGTCGTCTCTGAAAAAAGAACAACATTCAGTGAACTGCAACAAGCACAGTGGCGAGGCCACACTCAGCCACAGCTGCCCAACAGCTGCCCCAGGTGCTCAGGTGGGACATACTTGCCCAGCGGCCCCGGGAATGCGCGCATCTCCTCCTGCTCTGGCATGTGCTGCAGCAGTGTCTGTGAAGAATAGGTGAGGGACGGGGAGAAGGCAGCTCAGGGGTGGGCACCGCCACTGCCCACCTGTGTCTGCTGACCTGAGGACGGCCTGTCCCCAGGAAGGCAAAGGTGCTCCATCATGGGGCATGACTGTGTCTGGTAGGCAACAGTGACTTTAACACTTTTAGCAGTGAGATCCATTCCCCCCTAAACTCTGAACTGATACATGTGACAGAGGTCTGTGGGGCTGAAAAAGAGTGGGGCACCCCATCCCCCACCAGCCAGCCACAAGGACTTTTACAGCATGAAGGACCTCTACTCGTTATCGAAAATCACCAGTAAATGAACACCAACAGTGTCCTCCCCTCAAAATCAGAAATGCAAGTAAAGAGATGTATAACCAAACAGAACAAATAAAAACCTATCAACTGAGGATTCATAGGAATCAATACTTTGCAAGGCTGTTTTTCAGAAACAAGGATGAGTGCATGGGCAGCCCACTGGCCTGCAGCTGCACCCCAGCCTCACCTCCATGCTGTGCACTTCCACCAAGGCAGGCTGTCCTTCAGAAGGCAGATTGGGGATTACTCGGATGAGCTGACCCCCAGGACCAAACCTGGCACAGACATGAGGCACTGAGAACTTCTCAGGAGAAGTGGGTCTCGATGGAGCTGCAGTTACAGGGCATGAACGGGAAACAGCCGGCTTGTCAGTTCTGGGTGCTTCAGAACCAGACCAACAGCTCAGATGTCAAGGTGCCCACACAAAGGGACCTCAGATTAACTTACTTTCAACTAGAAATTAATAATTGCTATTTAATTGCCCATTAAAAAGTAGAAATACTTTTTAGAAAAATGTTTAAGGCACTAAAAATGAGAAATACTCTCCTCTAAATAAAAAAAAAAAAACGCCTTTAAAAACTGCCCCAAAGCAGGTGTCACAGGAAGCAGAACTCTCTAGACCCTTTGTGCCTTAGCTTTTGTTCTCAACTTCAGAGCTGAGTGAAAGTGAAGGTGTGACACCTCCAGTTAAAAAGGAGGATTTTCAGCCCTGGCCGATTTGGCTCAGTGGTTAGAGAGTTGGTCTGTGGACCTAAGAGTTGAAGGTTCGATTCCCGGTCAAGGGCATGTACCTTGGTTGCAGGTTCGAGCCCTGCCCTGGATGGGGTACAAGTGAGAGGCAACCAGTTGGTGTTTTTCTCTCTCTCTCCCCTCTCTGAAAAATCAATGGAGAAAACATCCTCAGGTAAGGATAAGACAAAAAACAAAAAGGAGGGTTTCCACCCAGCAGGGCGGCTCAGTTGGTTGAGCACCGTCCTGTGCACGGAAAGGTTGCAGGTTTGATTCCCAGTCTGGGTGCATGTGGGAGGCCACAGTCAATATTTCTCTCTCATATCAATGTTTCTCTCCTTCCCTTCCTCTCTCTAAGCACGTCTTCAGGTGAGGATTAAACAAAAAAAAATTTTCAATTGAAATACTACTTCAAGAAGGAAAGTCTACTGTTATAGTTCAGAACTTTACACGTTTTTACAGTTTTCAAGATACAGCATTTAATCAAACATTTCAGAGGGGACTAAGAATGTGGCACATGTGACAAGCCAGTTTTTCTAGGGGAACTAGAAGTTTCCTCCAAAAGCTGCTTACCCATGTGGTCAGCATGGGAACATGAGGCCCCACCCAAGAACCTCACAGTGAGCCTGCACTCAGAGTCACATGAGTACACGTGACAGACAGGTAGGGCAGCTCTCAGGCTTGTGAGCCAAAGTACAGAGGGATGCTATCAGCCCATCATGACAAGTTCTGTCTCTCAGACGGATGGGCATGCTCCAGTTGTCCTGACTCTGCGGGGAAGATTAAGCCATCGTGAATTCTCATCATAGTTACAATTCACTCCCTGTTTCTTGTCCCAGGCTTGTGAAGCTACCCCTGGTGTGACTGGGCACCCCCCTGCACCTGTGGGCACACAGGGCCTTGACCGCACACACCTTGATCCACAGCGGGCCAGCCGGCGTCAGCAGGATAGCCGTACTCTGGGAAGCCCTGGGCACTGGTGAAATTGCTAACATAGGTGTCGTAGGCATAGTCCCCGTGGAAGGAGCCTGGTGGAGGTGGGGCCTCATAAGGACCCACAGTCACATTGCAACTTCTGTAAACCTGACTCTTAGGAAACACAAAGCCAGCAGATAAAGTCAGTTCACCATGAACATCAGTCAAACTTGGAGCATGCTGTCAGAGAACAGGGCGGGGAACTGGGTCTAAACAGAACTGTGTGGATGGAGCGCCCACCCACTCACCTGCTGTGAGTGAGCACTGAAGCTGCTGTGGCGACTGTGTACACTGGGGGCACTGCGCAGGCTCTGCCCTGAGTGCTCACTGTGCACGCTGCGCCGATCCACGTCTTCCCCATAAGGGTCCCTGTGGGGCTCAGGGTCGTCATCAAAACTCCCTGTGAAGCGAGGGTCATACCTCCAGGGGTCATCATACCTCTCAGGCCTAGAGGACCAATGGGGCAAAGGCAACAGTGGGCACTGGGGGCCACCTGGGCACAATGCGCACTGCTACGCAACACTCAAGCCCCCACCAGGTCCTCACTGCCTGGCCGTCCTCCCATCATTACGAGTCCTGACTCTCAGGGCTGGTCAGAACACACTCCTGAGTGGAGTCCCTGTAACCCAAGTCCAAGCTCAGGCCCTGGGTGAAGATTCAGAAGTATGCTGCAAGTTCATGCCAGCGGTCACACTGCTCACAGACACTAAGGAGACAAGGGCAAACCAGCACCCAGGCACTTGTTCTGAGGCCCAAAGTTAGAGGGTCCAGTCTGTCCGCATCTTTTAGGCAGTGACTATGATGCCAGCTGCTCCCCAGGAGCCCACACACAGCTGCAGTTCATGGGTCATTTACAAAGCACAGCTCTGATTTCCGTCCACCCCTCAGCAAAGTGTGTCTCACCTACCTGTCAGCATAAGTGTAGTTTTCTTTCCTGTACAGGTCGAATTCCGTGTCATACCAATACCTGCGGTCATAGGGGCGAGGATCCCTGAACCCAGAAGCATAGGGGTACCGGTCCCAGCGACCTGGATCTGTAAGCAAGAGATTAACAGGCTAAAACAACAAGCACGGAAGACAATGTGTGGCCTTCCCCGGAGAAACGGTGCCGCCCAGTACTGAAGAATGCTTCCAGACTCCCTGCAGAACCAAACTTTCCTCCCGAGAAAGTCAGCATGACCCTGGTATATTAACTGAGATACCAGAGGTAACCGGCCGAGTCCTGCCTGAGTGTCTAATACCTAAAGGCCACTGGCTTTTTTCTCTCAATACACACAATTAAAAAGAAAAAAAAACCTGCTACATAACATCTTGATTAAATTCTTGCCCACAGTTACTACTTTTAAAAAGTTAATCCCATAACTACAAATTTTACTCATATCTCTTCTAATGTGGTCTGGAAAGGTTTAAGAAATACTTTCAAAACTAAAGAACTGTTTTTAAAAAGACCAGTAACATTAAAGCAAACCAGATGTACCATTTTTGGCAACTGTGTGCAGATTTAATGTTTAAAGTAATGCAGATATGAAAGGGGAAACAGAGCAAAAGGCAGGTGGCCGTGTAGGGATAAACAAAGGCTGCAGGCCTGGGGCCCTCCTCTGCACCGAGCACAACAGAGGGAGAAGCAGGGCTCAGGGACACGTGGCCAAGAGGCACACCCTTACTGACAGTGAGGGGACATGTTTGCCCGGCCTTCCCTGGAGAAACAGCCTCCAATGCCAGAGCCCTGGACATGCATGGCCACAGAGCATGGCAGACATGGCTAGTGCCACTGAAGAGCTAGCTGCTCTCTCATTTTATTTCTTTTGATCAATGTAAACAGTCACACAGGGATAAGGCAGCTCTAGAGCTACTGATAACTGTGTTCTGCTGGAAAATCAAAGAAAACTGCTAATATGATAAAGACACATTCATGCTGTGATTAAAATACAACTGCTAAAAGTAGTAATAGAGCATGGCTAGTGTGGCTCAGTGGTTGGTTGAGCATCAACTTATGAACCAGGAGGTCATGGTTCGATTCCCCGTCAGGGCACATGCCCGGGTTGCTGGCTCGATCCCCAGCAGGGGGCGTGCAGGAGGCAGCCGATCAATGACTCTCTCATCATTGATGTTTCTATTTCTTTCTCCCTCTCTCTTCCTTTCTCTGAAATCAGTAAAAATATATTTAAAAAAAAAGAAAGGCAAAGAAGGCAATCTCTTCACTTAAAAAAAGTAGCAACAGAAATTACCTCCAGATGCAGATTACCTGGGCTCTTGGATGAGGGCAGAGACTAACAGAAGGGCCTTTGCCTAAGGCCCGCAAAGCACAACTTGCTGGCTGCTCCACGTACCTCCATAGTCATACTGGCCGCCGTAGTAGCCGGCATAATCACTCTGGCTGCTCCATCCACGTTTGGAACTGTAGTAACCTTCAGGATGCCCTTGTCTGAAATCATATAGTGGTTACCAACAAGGCACCTACTTTTGAAAAGCGCGACAGGATATCAGTATAGATTGTACCCAGGGCGACAGGCATTTGTTAAAGCACTTGGTCATGGACAATTCTAATCAGAAGTCCCAAAACCACACAAAGACGAGCTTAAGGGTTCCTTATCACACAGCAAATTAAAATTTCTCTCTTACAATAACTATGTGAGCACTTTAGCACAGAACTTTGTGTTCTCAGTGCTGTCGCCCATAAAGCCAGGGCTGAAATGGGGTTCTCGAGGTATGGATATCAGACTTAACAGAAGCAAAACGCACCGAGGTATGAAAATGAGCTGAATGCTGACTTCCAGACCTACTACACAGACTGCGCCGAGTGTCCTCTGAGTGGGTCAAGGTGCATCCGGCCCTAGTGGCCCTCAGAGTTGACGAGCATGGGCCTCGCCACGTGACTGGCAGGCTGGCCTCACAGAACAAGTCTGACTGTGATTTGAGTTAAAGAAAAGAGGGAACTTAGCAGGAAGACAGGTATCTGACCTGGGGCAGTAAGATTCCTGAAAGGGCTTAATGACATTTTTGTTCTTTAATAGCAAGTTTTAGAAAACATTTTACTTTTATTTACTTATTTAAAAAGTTTTTTTCTTTTAACATATCTTTATTGATTTCAGAGAGAGGAAGGGAGAGGGAGAGAGAGAGAGAAACATCAATGACGAGAGAGTCATCATTGATTGGCTGCCTCCTGCACGCCCCCTGCTAGGGATCGAGCCAGCAACCCGGGCATGTGCCCTGACGGGGAATCGAACTGCAATCTCCTAGATCCTAGGTGAATGCTCAACTGCTGAGCCATGGCTGGCCAGGTTAATATTTGATTTTTAAAATCGACTTCTCTCATGTCTCACTCAGCTGAGCCTGGGAATTGGTGGGTGCAGCTCCTGGGAGGGAGAGCTGGGGCCTCAGCCCAGCACCCACTCTCAACACTTCAGGGTGACAGTACCTGTCCACACATGGGGGGATCCCGAGAAATGACCTAATGCAGCACAGAACCAGGAACATGCACCTCCTGACCCCCATGAACCCTGCATCCTTTGGGAAAGACAATCACAGAAACAGAAGGTCCATGCTTACCTCAAGCAGTCCCCACTGGGATGGGATCACAGTGGCACAAGAAAGATGAGCTAATGCTAAACATAACATGGAAACACACGCACGCATGCACACATGCATGCATGTACATGCACCGCCCCCCTCAAGCAAAGTAGGGGAGGACGGAGACTACCCTCCTGTGCTGTCAGAAAATGGTGCAGACACGACAGATAAGGGGACAAACCTCCCACGTAACCACCCAGCCCGTAGTTAGGTGCCTCTCCACACTGAGCCAGCTCTGGCCTCTGAAATGAGTTGCCACATTAATCTGCAGGTAGGCAAGCGAAGGGAAACTGGAACAGTCAGATGTACCCTGGCACCACCTGCCTCTGCAATCCCTTGCCTCCCAGGGGTTCTAGAAAATACAGGCCCACTGCTCTCACTGAATCAGAACACTGCTTCCCAGGTGACAGGGTGGTATCCAGGTGCTAAGACCCAGAACCTTCTCACATAAAGCACCTAGTACACTGGGCTACATGTCCCTCTGTGGCACTGGACAGTCAAGCTACCAGACACCTGAAGAGCCAGCGAAAAGGAGCCCACAGTTCTGAAAGGCACTGCGTGTACCAAGTCTGTATCAGTGACCAGGTTTTCTCTGTCTCAAGTTTAAGGAACCACATACCCTTGTAGCAAAAGCTACACCTGTGAGACGTTACTTCGCCAGGTGAAGGCTTTGGAAGGTGGGCAGAACTGGGCACACCCGACAGCCACCCTTCCTTTGTTCCAACTCCTCCAGCACCTGAGCGGGATGCCTCTGACAGGCTCAAGTTCTCACTTGGCTGGAGGCACAGTGCCAGGGCTGTTTCAACATCCCTCATTTGTAATCATAAAACTGAACCAGGGTCAGTGTGAGAAAGAAGCAGGATGGCAACATCGGGTCTCCGGAACAACAGGCGGTGTTGGGGAAAAACATAGGATTCTAGGCCAAGAGGCCAGCTGCATTCTGGCCCAAGTCTGCCTGGCTAAACACCATGGACTCTCTGTGACCTGTGGTGGGGAACAGCCTGCAAGGTAAAAGCTGCTGCAGTCTAGGACCTGAGCATTCAGTCCCCAAGCCTCCAGAGCACACACGTGCCCTAGCAATGAGACCACCACCTAGGCCGGGGAGAAACTCCACGAGGACAGTGGTGCCTCTGACCAAACGCTGGCTGACACATGGCCATGGCTGCATGCCGGTGTGCTAATCGCCATTTAAAAATGCATCTTGTGCCCGACTGGCGTGGCTCAGTGGTTGAGCATCGACCTATGATCCAGGAGAACGAGGTTCTATTCCTGGCCAGGGCACATGCCCAGGTTGCAGGCTTAACCCCAAGTGGGGAGCGTGCAGGACGCAGCCGATCAATGACTCTCTCATCATTGATGATTCTCTCTCTCTCTCCCTCTCTCTGAAAACAATAAAGATATTTAAAAAAATAAAAATAAAAATGCATCTTGTACTATGAACAACTATAAGCCAACAAGTTGGAAAACCTGGATGAAATGGACAAACTCCTAGAAAAATACAATCTTCCAAAACTGAATCAGGAAGAAGCAAAAAACCTGAATAGGCTGATAACAACTGATGAAATGGAAGCAGTAATAAAAAAACTCCCAGCAAACAAAAGCCCTGGCCTGAACCATTTCATAGGAGAGTTTTACGAAATATTCAAAGAAGAACTAAGACCTATCCTCCTCAAACTATTCCAAAAAATCCAAGAGGAAGGAACACTTCTAAGCTCTTTCCACAAGGCCAGCATTAGCCTAATTCCAAAATCAGATAAAGACACTACAAAGAAAGAGAATTACAGGCCAACATCCCTGATGAACATAGATGCCAAAACCCTCAAAAATATTAGCAAACCGGATCTAGCAATATATTAAAAAGATCATACACCATGACCAAAAGGAATTTATTCCAGAGATGTAAGATTGGTGCAATATTTGCAAATCAATAGATGTGATACATCACATAAACAAATTGAAAGACAAAAATCACTTGATCATATCAATAAATGCAGAAAAAGTACTGGAAAAAATCCAACACCCATTTTTGACAAAAATTCTCAGCAAAGTGGGAATAGAGGGATCATACCTCAATATAATAAAGGCCATGTATGACAAACCTACAGCCAACATGGTACTCAATGGGCAAAAACTAGAACTATTTCCCCTAAGAACAGGAACAAGACAAGGTTGCCTGCTTTCACTACTTTTATTCAACATAGCACTGGAAGTCCTAGACACAACGATCAGACAAAAAGAAAAAGTAAAAGGCACCCAAATTGGAAAGAAGGAAACAAAACTGTCATTATTTGCAGATGATGTGATATTGTACATAAAAAACCTTAAAGGCTCCACCAAAAAAATGCTAGATTTAATAAACGAATTCGGCAATGTAGCAGGATACAAAATTAACACCCAGAAATCGATGACATTTTTATACACCAATAATGAACTCTCAGAAAGAGAAACTAAAAAAACAATCCCATGTACCACTGTAACAAAAAAATTAAAATACTTAGGAATAAACTTAACCAAGGGGGTAAAAGACCTGTACTTGGAAAACTACAGAATGTTGAAAAAAGAGGTAGAGTAAGATATAAGCAAGTGGAAGACTATATCGTGTTCACAGATTGGTAGAATTAACATAATTAAAATGTCCATACTACCCAAAGCAATCTATAGGTTCAATACAATCCCTATTAAAATATCAACGGCATATTTCACAGATCTTGAACAAATACTCCAAAAATTTATATGAAACCAAAAAAGACCCTGAAGAGCAGCAGCAATCTTGAGAAAGAACAAAGTTGGAGGGATCACAATACCAGATACCAAGCTATACTACAAAGCCACTGTAATTAAAATAGGCTCGTAGTGGCAAAAGAACAGGCATATAGATCAATGGAACATAACAGAAAACCCAGAAATAGATCCAAGCCATATGCTCAATTAATATTTGAAAGAGGAGGCAAGAGCATACAATGGAGTAAAGACACTCTCTTCAATAAATGGTATTGGGATAATTGGACAGGTACATGCAAAAAAATGAAACTAGACCACCAACTTACACCGAACACAAGAATAAACTCAAAATGGATAAAAACTTAAATGTAAGTTGTGAAATCATAAAAATCCTATAAGAAAACATAGGCAGCAAAATCTCAGCCATCTCACATAGTAGAATTTTTATTAATACAACACCTAGGACAAGAGAAACAAAGGAAAAAGTTAACAAATGGGACTACATAAAAAAAAAAAAAGCTTTTGCACAGCTAACGTAACCAGTATCAAAATGAAAAGGGAACCAACCTACTGTATGGGAGAACATATTTGCCAATGATACATCTGATAAGGGGTTAATTTCCAAAATATATAAAGTACTCATGAAACTCAACAAAAGGAAGACAAACAATCCAATTAAAAAATGGGCAGAGGACCTAAATGGACACTTCTCCAAAGAGGACAAATGGCCAAGAGAGATATGAAAGAATGTTCAATGTCACTAATCATCAGAGAGATGCAAATTAAAATGACAATAAGGTACCACCTCACACCTGCCAGAATGGCTACTATCAATAACTCAACAAACAACAAGTGCTGGAGAGAATGAGGAGGAAAAGGAACCCTAGTACCCTGCCGGTGGGAATGCAGACTGGTACAACCACTATGGAAAACAGTGTGGAGTTTCCTCAAAAAATTAAAAATGGAACTGCAATTTGACCCAGTGATCCCATTTCTAGGACTATATCCTAAGAAGCCTGAAACACTAAACAGAAAGAAAATATGCACCCCTATGTTCATAGCAGTGTTATTTATAATAGCTAAGCTAAGATTTGGAAACAGCCCAAGTGTCCATCAGTAGATGAGTGGATAAAAAAGCTGTGGTATATTTACACCATGGAATCCTCCACAGCTGTAAAAAAGAAGGATCTCTTACCCTTTGAGACAACATGGAGAGACCTGGAAAGTATTATGCTAAGTGAAATAAGCCAGTCAGAGAAAGACAAGTATCACATGATCTCATTTATACGTGGAATCTAATGAACAAAAGAAACTGACAAACAAAACAGATCCAAAGACCTGTAAATGTGCAACAGACTGACGATTCTCAGAGGGAGGGGAGGGTGGTGGGAAGAGATTAACCAAAGAATTTAAATGCATATATGCATAACCCACAGACACAGACACAGTGCAGTGAAGGCCTGGGGACAGGGCAGGAGTGGGGAGGAGGGGGTCAATGGAGGAAAAAAAGGGGACATCTGTAATACTTTCAACAATGAAGATTTAAAAAAATGCATCTTGCAACCTATCTACATTGACAAAACGGAAACACAACAGGGTTGTATAATTCTTTAAACGTACAGTCTTTTCAAATCATGACATTACTCACAGACCCAGCAACACAAATATCAGTCACCTGGCAGATGGCCGATCTGAGCAGTGACTTGCCCGGGAGCTGGGCCGCTCGGGCTCAGGATAGCGGTAGTTCTCAGCATAAGTGGAAGCTGCACTATCGTAGGGCCTGTATCTGGACTCGTATAGGCCATAGACGTCCTGTGGGAAGACAGATTTGTGCAGCATTAGACACCAATAAAGAGCCAGCCCATCCAGCAAGGAGCACCAGCTCTAAGCAGTACAGATGCCGCTCTCCTAGGGGCACTAGACACGACACACACACACACACATCTCCATGCAAAATAGAAAACTTACAGGATGACAGCCCCAGGCAGGCAGCTGACTGTCCTAAAGCCCACTGCCCTGGCCCTGCTCAGGAGAAGCCAGCATGTCAGTAGGCACCCTAAGGAGCCATGGCAACTCTTGAGAGCTCTGTTAGGCTTCTGCTTCCTGCAGTACCAGAATCAAAACTGTTTCCTGCATCAGATGCCATCTCAGGTAAGCCACAGAAGCAGGGTTCCATGTGATGGGTCCTGAAGCTACAAGCAGCCTCAAAAAGAGGATATTTTATTCTTAGAGGATTCTAGCCCTATTACAAATCACTGAATCAACACAGCTCTGCCTCTAAGGGGTAGCCACATGAGGACCTGAAGCAGAGAGGTGATCCAGGCACCAGCCAGAATCAGTCCTGTGTGTCTGGGAACCTGACTCTCCACCATCACCTGGCAGAGGATGAGAAACATGTCACATGGACTTCTTGACTGGCGCTGGAAGCTAAGGTGACACAGAGAAAAGGCAGAGGGGCACAGGCTCCCACAGAAGTGATGCCGGGCTCCTGTGATGCTGAACTCTCGAGGAGCTGAGGTAGTGCTGCACAAAGAACCCAAAGCAGGCACTCCCTTGGCTTCTCTGGGCTCCCAGCGGAGCTTAGCTTCCTGCTATGGGAATAAAGTCCACGTGGCTCCTTTGGGAACCTAGGTCTCAGTGGTCGGAGGTGTAACTGCTCACACACACACAAAGATGCTGAGGGCCCACAGCTTGGCACAGGCCTCCCATCACCCAAACCAACCTGGCCCAGCCCAGACCAGTCTAGTCCTGACACAACCTCTTCTGACCACAAGGCCCCCAGCTCAGCCACCTGCCTCTGCCCCTGCCCTGCCTCTGTGAGTCAGCGGTTTCAACCTCTCTGGTCCACTATACCACTGCCTTGGCTGACCTCGAAAGACACTGGGCCTACACTAGAGGCGACGAAAAGCAGATAATAATGAAACGTGTCCACTTGAATCCCACTTTTCCATGCAGGATTAAACAGAACCTAATTTAAACAACATTTGTGAGCTTGCAGCACTGTGAAAGGGGCAAAAAGAACCTTCTATGTAGCAGCAGGGACCCCACTCTGCTGCTGGACTCACCAGGCACCTGGGAGAAGCTGATGGAATTTCACCCGTTTCATTTGCATTACATGTCAAACCTAACTTTTTTCTCTAAATACTTTTATTCTGAAGGAGAGATTTAAAAGACTAGTTTTCCTGCTGCTTCTTACATAGGTTTCTGATGTCACAACCACATGCAAGCTACAAGTGGCCCTCCAGTTTCCCAAAACCTGCAACTCAGAACTCGGGCTCTGTAGACGGCCAACAGATGCAACAGGGAAGCAAAGGGCTTTTCTGTCCCATAAGTTGGGGGTGCTGCATTACACAAACATTAAGCAGGTATCTCCACAAATGTGCTACTACATAGTGTGGGATTCCATGAGGGGGGCCATGCGTGGCAGAGCAGCGGTGGCCAGGAGCACTTTTCTCATGAGCAACGCACAGAACCGGTGTCCTGCACGGCAGCGCACGACAGGTTACTTATGAACCGACAGAAACCTGCCAGAGAGCACAAGAGAAAAGACCACTGGTCAAACGGTTCAACTGTCAGAGCTCAACCCTACCTGGTAGCAGAGTGGGGCTGTGCCAGGCTCTGGAGGGAATGGTGAGGGGTACTGGGCCTGGAAGCCATCGTACGGGGGTCTGTAATAGTAGTAGGCTGCCAAGTCCAGGGGCTGCGGCTGCATCCACTGCTGGCCTGGCGGCATGGCTGCCTGGCTTGAGTTGCTGGACACAACCGATGCATTGGAGGACCGGGGTGGCTGAGGCTGGCCCGGGTCAGCTGGAGCTGGACTTGCAGGTGGCTGGGCTGAGTTTTGGAGCTGCCCTTGTGCTGGTGGACTTTCTGGGTTTGAGGGTTCTGAAGATGCTGCTTTGGGCCCTTGTGGGGTTGAAGGAGCTGGCTCCTGCTGCGCTCTCTCCAGGCCACGCTGGTCCTGAGCACCTTTTCTCACCTGTTGGTAGAAATGGTCTGGGTTATACACCCCAGGCCCAGGTTGTCTGGGATGATTGGGGATGGTTTGTTGATAAGAGTCTGGGTTATCAGAATGGGACAAACTATACATTCTTACGGGATTTTCCAAAGTCCTATTTAATGTGAAGTCTAAGGCTTCCGAAGTCTCTTCCCGATTACTGGGGTGATTTGCCTTATTACTATGAGGTCCCAAGGCAGTGTTTGTGGGCGACACCAACATGATGCCTGTGCTCCCAGCAGGGCTATTAACCAACTCCGGAAGAGCATTCTCTGCACTGTGAATCTTCTGACCTTCTGGAAGCAAGTTCTTTGGAGCTGGATGAGATGGTGGTTGAACTAGCAAATTAGCAGGTTGAGTGGAAACCATTTCAGAAATACCAGAAATTTGTGGAAAATTACTTTGGGCAAGGTTGTTAGGCAGAGGTGAGCAGATGAGAGAGCTGGCTGGAACCCCAGAAAGAGAAGCAGTTTCTCCAGAATCACCCCCAACAGCACGACTACTCGTGGCAGATCTGTCCCCAACCCGAGCTTCTCTCCAGGACTGAGTCTTCTCATTAGGATTCGACAAGGACACAGAAAAATGAATGGGCGGAGCCAGATTAGAGCTCTGATCAGGCTGAGCAATCAAGACTGGTTGATTTTGCAAAGATTCAGTGGGCGGTGAGGACAACAAACTGGCATAACCAGAACCTGCCTGTGACAGAAGGGCCTCCTCTTCTCCCATCTTGGGAGGGTTCTCGAGGTTCTCAGAAGCACCAATGCTGACCCCGCTCTGCAGAGGGGGGAGGCAGCCTGACTGCTGGGGCAGCTGACCAGACACTCCCTCGTCTGGAGGCTGAACCACTTCAGATGGCTGAGGTTTCCCGGGCATGTGAAGTACAGGAGCAGCAGGGGCTAGAAGGACATTGCCCCCAAAGTCTGGCAGCTCATTCTGTGCCCACAGAGTCGTTGCTGGGCTCTCACACTTCATGGCTCCCTGGGCCCGGGTCGAGGGCCTCTTCTCAGGTGTTGGAAGCATAGTCTCCAAGGATGGCCCCATAGTGTGTGGAAGCCTGTGACTGACTTCTGCAGGTGTGGTAAGTGACAGAGGACAGACCTGGGGTGGGAGGAGGGTCTCCATGTTGTCTGGTGGCTGCTCCAGGTTGCCAGGGCAGGCATCGGGTGGTGCAGCCGCTGTTCTGCACTTCTGGTGGGCATGGGTCCCCCTCACCTCACCTACCACATTGGCACGATCTGCCTCAATTGGTTTTACTCCAACTAAGTGGGATTTCACTGGTTCAAAAGAACTATTTGCACTTGTCTGAAATATCCCTGTAGGTTTAGGGGGGCTTGGGGTCAAGGGCTGGGACAGGCTGTGGTGGTAATTCTGGCTCACAGTGGTCTCATCCGTCTCGCCTCCCACAGGAGAAGAATCAATTTGCTTGAAAAAGCTCCCTGAAGCCTCCTCCTCAGGTTTTCCGACTTCCTGCTGTATGAAGGTGCCCAAGTCTTGGGGCCTGGCTGCACTGGAAACACTCCTGTGGCTCTTGCTGCTATAACTAGAAGACACGCTATCAGACCGCACAGGGTGCAGTGGTGTGTCCAGGGCCTCGAGGTTTGAGCCCCCACCTCCAGCATGGCCTGCGACACTGAGCCTGGGGACCACAGGCCCTGGAAGAGGCCCGTATCTGAGCTGATCGGCTGGGGAGGAGGCATCCAAATTTGGGGGCTCACTTGGCAGAACCTCTTGGTTCTGAGTGAACTCTAAGTTCTCCACATTCTCGTAGTGTGAGCCACCAGTGTCATGAGTCCCTGCACCTGCCGTGTCGCCCCACAGATCAACAGCAGCGTTTTTAGTGGTTGGTTTATCATGCTCGGTGCCTGTAGACTGAGGAAAGTAAGGTTGTGTGTCTCCTCCCTGCTGCGTGGCCTCACTGCCGGTGGCTCTGAGAAAGGCCTGGTAAACACTGCCTGCTCCCCCGTGCGCAGGAGGGGCCAGGCCAGGGCTGGGGGAGAAACCGTCAAAGTCAGACTGGCCAGCAGAGGCTGTTTTTTCAGATGAGAGGGTCTCCTCATTCTCCGTCTCTCCCCCTCGGAAAAACATGCAGAGCGTACCTGAGTCTGCTTCTGGCAGGGCCTGGCTGGTCCCAGTCCCCAAGGGGTAGTGCAAATGGCTTTCTGGGCTATTTCCCTGAGCGAATGGATTAACAAGAGCAGGGTTTGGCAACTGCTCTTTATTCACTCCTGGATTCGGCCTCAACTCCTGGCCAGCCCCAGTATTCCCAACTCTCAAATTTTGCCTGAATGAGTTTTCAAGATCAAAGTGACTTGCTGAGTGGTTTCCACTTTGTAGGCAGGCTGCCTCATCTCTTCCACCACTGGTCAAGGGTCCTGTGATGGAAGGGTTGTGCTGCTCATGATCAGGCCCCTGAGGCGGGCTGGACAGAGCAGGGACGTGGGAGACACTGGAGGCCTGTGGCACCATGTTTGGAACAGGTCCTTCTGGGCGGGGCCAATAATGCTGACCTGAGGGTTGTGGGCCTCCCTGCACCAGCCCCCACTGCCCTGGCATTTGCTGACGAGGCTGAGAGAAGAAGTAGGACGTTGTTGGTGCCACAGAACTGTCATGAGGGCTCTGCCCACTCAGGGGTCTATCAGGCCCAGGCAGGTTCCCATGCAGGTGGCCCCCATAAGAACTGTCAGAACCCGTTCCTGGAATGTACTGAGCATGAACTTCACGTTCGGAGCTGGAAGTGACCTCGGCACTCCTGCTCATTTCGGCACTCCCGGGTGGTGCTGAAGAGGCCAACACACTGGAAAATGGACTTGTCGCTGGCCTGGGCTGTGAAAGAGGTCTCGGCAAAGGCTCACAGGGTCCTTGGGAGCTATCCCCAGCATTTGTGTGAGGCACAGGCAGACCAGGGTGCTGAAGAAACGCTGGTGGGGCCGAACCTGGCAAAACGGGTGGGCTGCTTTTGGATGAACTGCCCAGTGAGGTGTTTTGAAGCACCTGTCTACTAAAAGCAAATGGATCCGTTACCGGTTGCAGTGGGCAAGTTACCGCAGCCACTGGTGCATTAGCGACTGCCTGTCTCCTGTATGAACTGCCAGACCAGAACATGCTCGGAGGGCTCCCAGCTGGAGGCGGCCCTACCACGCTGGGTGGGGCAGCCTGTGGCGGCGGTTGCATGGCTGAGCTCTTGTACACAATTAGATGCCGTTTACAGAGAATAGCAGGATCTAGGTTATCCTTAATTTGAACTGAAAAAGAAAAAGATAAAATTGGCATAAAATTCATATATTCAAAGACCTGGTTGCAATCAGGAAAACTAAGAAAAAAGAACATGATGGACAATGATTTCGTGTCATGTAAGTCCTGAGGGGCGCATCTCTCCCACCCCAGTCCCGTTCAGAACTGCAGCCCTGGTCCGGAGCAAGAACACTGGACGGGAGCACAGATATTGGCTGTGCCGTGACCTGCTGAGTGACTTCAGACAAGTCACTGCTCTCTTCTGGGACTCAGTTATATAACCCAGCGAAGGACCCATTGGAATGGCCGCTGCCTCCATGATGCCCTCACCAAGCTGGCAGGGACGAGCAGAACCTGCCAGTCTGAATTACTACCAGGAACGTGGTCACTTTTCCTGTAACCTATCACCAGATCCAGAGAGAGCCAGCTCCCCTACCAAGACTGTGTATCATACTTTCCATATAGGTTCCTTTAAATCTCAAAAGGAAAACCAAAGTTTAAAATTGGCTCTTCTGTTTTCTTTCATGAAAGAGGGTTATCAAGTACACAGTAAGACAAGGTGCAAAATAAACATGAGACATGTACTCATCCAGAGGGCCTTTACCCCACCACGTAAAATGTTCCATTTTTTTTGCACTGGGACTGGTTACACACCAACAGGAAAACCAGGTCCTCTGAGTGCTGGGGCTATAAGAGCCATACCTGGTAAATCCCTACAGCAGCTGTAAAAGTGACCAAATGACTAGATTCAAACCTTTTCAATAACAGGCAAAGCGCCAACAAACCTCTCATAAAAAACAAAGGGGCAAAAATCCTCTTCATAGTGTTTTCTGTTGTTTTAAAATAAAATACATTAAGATAATCTTGAATAGTTAACTTCTACTTTTAAGACAAAAATCCAAGTTCTCTCTCTTTAGAAAGCCCTGTTCTGTGAATCAGTTCTTCTCATCATCACAAACAGATTAAGTTTAGCAATCACAGAGAAAAGTGAACATGGGGAGAAAAATAGCATAAGGACTCTGGAGTTTCAGCCACGCTTTTGCAGACATGTAATATTTTTGTTCTTGGAAATTTTTCTAATATGCAGATAAAAGAAAACACTTATGAGTGTATTTTAAGTAAAGCAACTTACAAATGAAAGTTCCTATCCCTACCTGAAAACTAGTCCTATGAATCCATTAATTCACTACCATTACTGCCCACACATGCTGTCCTAGGTCAACAGGACGCCCTTTCTGACTGACAAGCACTTTGAACCTCAAATTTAATGGACTGTATATTAGGAACAGCATCAGAGACTTCATTTGGTTCTAAGCTGTCATTTTAAAACAAAGAACATTTACAGCTCAGCTTTATGTGGACTGAGGGTAGAATATTCAGAGCCTTTTCCCCTTATCTGTGAAAAAGGCACTCAGGACGTCCTCCAGGACACAACTTCCTCCTTGTAAGGCTTCAGCAGAAGACCCTCAACCATTCTAAGTAGCTTTAAAAAAAAAAAGTACAGAACACAGGCTTAGGGGATCTGTTGGTCAGGTGTCACTGTGAGAGCAAGACTGGCATCCAGCTGAGTGGCTCAGGCACACTACTTTTTGCAACTCAGTTTCTTTATCTATAAAGTGAGAGAATTAATATGGTGATTTCTCGGGTCCCTTCTGGGCTTAATCTTATGAAATTCTACTTGAAGTGGATTCTGGGATACCCTAACCCCTACCACTGTTTAATAGGGAAATCTTATCACACCTTAAATTTCACAGGTTTGTATTTAAACATTTTCCTTGCAGAAACTCTTAAAATTATCTTCTCAACTCCTGGACTAAGAACTGTTTTAGAAACAAACACTATCACTTCCTCATAAAGTAGCATCGCCTACTTCCCTCACATATATTGAGAATTTTCTAGCAATACACAAATTTCATTTGAAACAATCCTGAAGAATCTTATCCTTTTGATCTTTTTTCTCTATTTACCAGAAAAAAACAATGCAGCTGCATATATTTATCTCATGACTATAGGGAATTTTATTCTGTCCAGAAAATCATTCTGTAGCCTCAAATCATCTAAGACTGTTTCAAAGAGACCAGCAGATCTTAAAGATGCATTATTTGTAAACCTAGCTCTTCAATTAAACTGACTGTATTTATGTGAAATACTTAAGCACAATGTATTTTCAACGTAGATTCCTGGCGAGACCAGGAACTGAGATAGCTAAAGCACACCCCTCCCCTTCCAGAGCTGCTGCCTCCAGCCGAGTGTGTAAACCAACAGGAGTGCCAAGGAGCACCTGAGTCTACTCCTCTGCCTACAGTCTCACCTACTACGAACTCCCTGCCAAGCTGTAGAACACTTGACCCCAAAACACCATAGACTCCAACTTTTCTAAGTACAGAATCAAAGACATTTAGATGGTAAAAAAAAAAAAGGGGGGGGGATGTCTAAACATTGCTAAAAATGACAGAAGATCCAAAAGGACACTAAGGAAAGATGTTTACGGAAGCAAGAAGGAATCGTGTTAAAGTTTACACAATGCCCTAAAGAAAACTCTCAGTACAATTTTAAACTGCTACTAAAGGTGAATGAGTCATAAGGAATAAGAAATAAGCTATTTTGCCTCTTGTCTTATCTTTGTAAGATAACAGCACCCATAACCCTAAGAAAGGGCATGGAGGGAAAAAAACAACTACAGGGAGGGTGGCTGTGCTCAAACTTACAAAAGTGTCACTCTAGGAATGGTTTGTGACTCAGTTTGCTTCTTGCCATATGCGGGGTGGGGGGGTACGAAATACCTCTCTAGTTAACACCTGCCATCACATATACTGAAAACAAAATCTTAACAAGCAACTCATGCCCAATCTCCAAGCCATTTAAAAGTGAACCGGCAGAATCTGATTTTAAATGGCTGTGATGTGTCCAGACTCTGTACTGTAATACTTCCATCACAAAAAGGGCAAAGCTGGTTTACACATAACCTCTAACCCTTGATATGAAACACAAGCGCTCGACCTTCGTTGCAACATCTTAGTCACCTTGCCACGAAGTTACCGAACAGCAATGCTGCTCCGCAGTTCAAATGTAAATCTATCTCATAACCTGCGTGGCTCGGTACGAATCTTTCAACCAATGAGGACAAAACAACTTTAGGACCTTCGAAGCCAAGGGCACCCTAAGAAATTTCCTACGTGTACTCTTTAAAAAGTTGCAGGTCTGGCCTATCTTCCATTCGAACAAGACCCCAAACCAAGGCCGCCACAGCTGAGCCAAGTGTCAACGCAGCTGAGTCCACAGGCACTTGCCAAGCACCCGGCCAAACCTGTGGGGTCCGCGTCAGTCTGACAGGCGGGCAACGAGGTGCGCAGGGCTGCAGGCGCGCGACTCCCCGGCCCACCGGCCCCGGCGCCCCGCCAACCCTCTCGCAGCACCCCGGAGACGC